AACAGTATTATTTTCATGCCATGTTCCTAATGACTACAGCGGGCCCACAGAAAAGCATCGGCCTCCTGGATGCCTGCTAGCTGAGTTGTTTTCAGGCATGACGACATGCTTAGAAGGAGTTCCTTATAGAAATGTGTTTCTTGGAAGACCTAGAGCTCCAACCAAGAAGAGCTGGTTGTCAGGGTCTGGGTATCAGTGTCAAGACTGATACCCAGATAAACCAAGATTTGGAGCCACTCCAGCAGACTGATCGTCGGTAGTACCTGATTTAAGATGCACAAACAATGCTTTAATGAGGATAGTCTAGTACTCGCTCATATTTTTCTGGACAATTACAACTTTCTGCACAACACCTACCACCACCCTGTTCCAACCGGCAATTTTGGGAAGCTCTCTCTGCATATCTCGAAACTCCACTCAACTCTCCTGGAGAGGTTCTCCGAACAATTAGCCTGTTGTGTCTTGCCTCTCTTGCAACAAGCCAGGTTTGGACATTTGAAACCAAGAGCAACATGGTTCTCTTCCGATGTCTTGACTCCTGCGTCTTTTCTCACAAAAGCCGACCCTCCAAAAACAGCTGCAGCTTTTAATGAGTGGAATTGTTGCTTTGCCTATTTGAGACTATTAAAAAAAAAGCTGCAGAATGTTCCCACAAGCACTTCAAATGAAGCACGAAGTAGTCTTTGGATTTAAGACACACTAAATGTGCCATAGGAGCTTTCTGCACAGCCTGTAAGCCTGTAGAGCATAACGCTCAGATCATGAATCAAACTCAAACAACAGAGTGAAAGTGCAGATATGAACGAAGTGCTGGTTGTGAAAACAGTTTTTGTTCTCCTTTAAACAGCTGATAGGCGCCATGATATGACACTTGGGCTGCTGGCACAGAGATACGCAACAGCACTACAACAACAACACACACAGAGCGAGACCTGACAGCAGACATTTGCACACCTCTATGAAGATGTTTATAGTTTCTTATCCAATGTTTCAAATATGTCCTGGCTTGAATTTTTTTTTTTTTGTCCTGAATTCATTCTGGGCATATCTATTCAGCACTGTTACTATTGATTCTGGATTATAAACTTCTAATAAAATAAAAAGTAGCTTAATCATCTGGTATTTGATAAATATATGTATTCAACACAACTTTAGTATCAAACTAAAACTGGAACGCTTCAGCTGTACAGATGGTAATATGTAATCCAGAAGTCATTTAGCTCAGAGCTTATACAAACACACATCTCCTCATTCAAAGGGCAGAGCTTTCCAAAGAAGGAAGGATTGTGTTGGGTTGGATGGACGGAGAGGGAGGTTGGTCAGTACTATGAGTCAGCACACACACACACAGGCAGAGGTCGTTGTGTTGCCATAGAAACGGCTGAGCTGGTCAGCGTAAAAGCAGGAAGGATGCCGCCGGACTGTTAATGTAGAGACCAGACACAGGGAGGAGTCGGGGAGAGCTGTTAACTTTTGGCCTCTTCGCTCCTCTTTGCCAATAGCTGTTCTTGATTGATATTTGACCTTTGACCCCAGCGGGTTCAGCACCTGCTCAGAGTTGTTTTGATCTCAGTTCTTTCTGTGCTGTTTGCTGTAGGTTCAAAGTCTGAAAGAGTGTTGGGTGTGTGTTGCGTGCATGTAGGCAACACGCCACCAGGTAGGCAGCTGTAAATTTAAAGTGACTGAGAGAATAGCTGATGTGTTCCAGTCAGCTGTTATGGAGAGAAAACATATTTGGAACAAAGGGCAAAAGTAAATTTCAAGCACTGTTCAAACTGTAAAGCTCATGTAATAGACCTCCATCGGAAATGCTAACAAGAATGCTATTTTCAGCGAGTGGTTCTTAGTTGAGTGTTTGCTTATAGAAATGCTCATTTCCACCAAACACAAAAATGATTATTTGCTTGTCAACCATCTGTAAAGAATTTAAGCATGCAATGTATGTTTTCAGTTTGTTTTTGGCTTCCTTTTAGTGTCTCAGTATTACGTTTAATCTACACTTATTTCTGAGTACTACACAAATTGTCATTGTTATAGAACGTCTGATAGAGTGCTAACAGTAGCACAGTTAGCCTTTGGTTTGCATGTTAGCATGCTAACAAGTGTAGCTGAAGATAACAATGTTGTAATATGTCTTTATCACTAAATATTTACTTGGGAAAGTACTGCATTATGACCCGATGATTATACTTGGCACAATTTGACAGCTATTATTATATTGTGCTGTTTCCTAGATGTGATGCTAGGGCTAACACCATGACTCTGATGATTCTGCCCTATGAGCCCAGAGCTGCATAAACCGGATATGTGGCTCTAAAACAGTCATCTGGATACATCATTAATGTAGTGGGAAAAAAACAAACATGATAATCCATCTATCTCTGATCTATTTAATAAAAGTAGTGGATTGACAGAATTAGCCACTTTTCTAACTAACAGTCAGTTTTATCTTATGTTATTCAGCTTTAACGGAGCAAAAACTTTAAAATGTCAAGGAAAAAGCTTGCTAATTATCCTCAGATGTAATCTGATGGGTTTCCTTCTCTTACCCTATAATTTAGTAGATAATGTATTTGAGGACTTTTTTACATCACCTTGTGCTCCCTGTAACTGTGAGGTCTGAACGTAGTTGTTAAAACATCAGTATTATGAGCATAAAACCAAATAATTGAGAAAATGGTCAGATAAAGAATTAAAAAAAATATCTAAAAAGGGAAAAGATATGTTACCATTCTGTCATCCAGCTCTAAAATCTGTGTTTTCTGCTAAACCTAATTGTTTGTCTTGACATTATTAATGAAAGGTGTTGAGAACATGCAGAAACCATACTCAGAACATCTTGGGCCAAATACATTTTCTCTCCATATATTAGAAATGAAAATGAAAATACAATACTGTACCTCTCCTTGCAGCATTCCCAATATTCCCAATTCAAGAACCCAGTGAATGCACAGAAAGCGCCACTTAAACATTTAAGAAACAAGTTTATTGAAATAAATTCTGCTTTAAAGTGTTAAAAAGAAAACAAAACACTGTACAATTATGTCCCCATAGAAAAGTACATGAGAGTACACGACTAAGCAGGTGTGCACAGACTAGATGTGGCTTTAAATTCTAGTATGATGCCTGCATGTCAACAGGCTAAATGTTAAACCAGCAGGAGCGCTAGCAAGCTGCCAACAGCAGCAGGGACTCTGCGAGACTGACCAAAGAAACAGTTTCTCTGCTTCGCGTGTTCATATATATATATATATATATATATATATATATATATATATATATATATATATATATATATATATATATAAACTGATGATCGCGATCGCGATGACAGTGAAAATGCAGGTGTGTGTGAGTCTTTGGTACATCTTTTCAAACAGTCAACACAAGTCTTTAAGAAGCCAGTAGAACAATGAAATGGCCTTGTTAAGCTCACACGAGACACACTGTAATGTTGCAAAATAAACAGCAGATGAAAAAGCAGAAACAAAACAAAATGTTTCACATTCACATGTATGTACAGTCTGAACATCACTACAACACCTTAATCTGATTGTCTGGTTTTTTCAGCGCATGTGACATTTTCACTTTTCACAGCTGCAGGTCCATCAACATGAAGCCACAAAACAGCCGATGTGGCGTGAACGCTCATCACAATCATACAGTTAATGGCCCCCGTCTCACAGACCCCCTCCCAACTCCCCTTTTTGTACATTAAATAGAATAAAGCAAGGCACTCTGGGTAAAAGAAGGCAAAAGCGGGTGCCTGGAAAATTACCTGCCATTAATCTGTGCAAACAATTGCCTTTTGAGCCCCTGTGATTGGGAACACAGCTAAATTAAAAGTCGTCTTTCAGCTGACCTGACAGGAAGCGTTCTGGCTCGGAAACGGTCGTATTTAGTTGTAGTGTACCTTTTCCTTCATAGCGTAGAGGCTCTTTATAACCCCACTCCCTTAGCCTTCTTATTGCCTTTCTTCCTTTCTTTCTTCTTTGCTGCTTGGCTCCCTGACTGAGCTGAAATTACCTTAAATTGGTCTGAACTGGATGGAAACACTAAAGTGCTGCTCAGTCAGTCTACTTTCTGGCAAAAGAAAGCTAAGAAACAATAAAAATTGGTTAAAAAAAAAGAACGAAAACTAACTCAGGAATTCACAGTCACTCTTTGTCACACTTCAACAAGCTGATCCGGCCATAAAGAGCAGCTTTAAGCCTCAAGTCAGCTCTCCAGACAAAAAAGAAAAGAATAACACATTCAGACATAATGAGGATGTCAGCATGAACCTTTCAATGGGTGCTCAAAGAACTCCAAGAACATTTGCGAATAATAAAATGGGGAAAACTCATAATGTCCTTCATTTAATCCACCATAAAAAAAGGTAAAATGAAACACAAACAAATGAAAAACACAGATGCTAAGGACAGACCCATATGGGATTTCCAAGTTGAACAGGGGGCTCAATCAAACGTATGCTATCAAACTTGGGTTTACATAACATCATAAGTAATTCTTTGAAATATCACATATTTCGCTATAACAGGAACTTTTAATTAAATTCTGCAGATTAAACATTTGAATGCAAGGCTTTGAAAACATCATCCAAAAAAACCCCAAAACCCATTACCTCAAACATAAAAATCCTCCATAAATGTGTTTTAGATCAACAGAGTCCATTTTAGGAGGGAGGTTACTGTAAGGAACTGACAAATTGGTAAGCCCATATTTGGTCTAGCCCTGCAATCCTTCATTCTGTGGCTTTGTGGTGTCCATGTTGAAGTGAATACCCAAAACTGAGCAGAACAGAAGACAAATGGTGAACAGAACCAAACTTAAAATAAAAGGAATCACAACTGTGAGGAGGTGGGTGATGTGCAGGGAAATCAGTGCAGCTTTGGTGGAATAACATTGGCTTTGCCAAATAAGTCCCAGCGTGACTACCACACCCGGTTGGTCCAATAGATCTCCCTGTGGTACATTGCTGTGTTTGCGTAGTCTCCTACCTGTTTGTTGCTGTATTTGGGTGGGTTGGCCTTGTAGCTGTAATCCGAATATTGGTCGGAGCCAGTAGAGTTGTTGTCGCCCGTCCCCACGAAGGTGTTGGTGGCAGGGAGGTCCTGAACAGCCTGGTGCTTCTTGGAGGCAGACGGTGACTGTGGCTGCAGCTGGATGGATGGTAGTGGGGAGTTGGAGCGGTAGTGGCGCCCCAGATCAGGGCTCCCTGGTGGATAGTTAAGGGGCAGGTGGATTCTGGGACTGTCATTGACATTCTCATTGATTAAGTTGAATTTGAGGCCTTTTTGTAGACTGGCGTCCTCATCATCTTCTCCTGTCTTAGCTGGTTTTGGAGCCTTCCCCTTTTTGCTCTTTTTCCCTTTGCCATTTTTAGGGCCCTGCTTTGGGGCATACAGGTCCTTACTCTCCTTCTTGCCAGCCTGGTAACCACTCTTGGTATCCTTCTGTACCCAGCGTCTGATGAGGACCACGGCAACTATAACTAAAATGACAACAGCAAAACCGGCAAGACTGCCGTACAGAATATTGCTTTGCTGAGAATAGGCATAGTTGGGATCTCCGGCAATGTCCCTGTCCAAAGGGGTGTAGAGGCTGTGTCCAACCAGCGCTTCAATGAGGGAGACATTTGATTTTGTTTCATTTACAAAAACATGAACTAGTGCAATGGTGTTACGAGGAGGTTTTCCCTTATCAACAACCTTCACTACCAGCCGATGTAGCCCATTGTACTTCGGGGTTAATTCTTGTGCTGCTGTGATTTCCCCATCATTGGTAGATATTTGGAACAGATCATATGGATTTCCACCTATGATGGTATACTCTAGCTCAGCATTGAGTCCAGCATCAATGTCCTCAGCTTTTACCACCTCCACGTGTGTGTTTGGTCGTGTCCCAACCGGTAGGTGTACAAAGGACGAGTTAGACGGCCTGGTAACATATGGGGCATTATCATTTTCATCCAACACATTGATGGTCACACCCACATAGGAGGATCGAGGCGGGTTACCACCATCCACAGCCTTTAGTTGAAATGTGTAGGTGCTCTTCTTTTCACGGTCGAAGGAGATGCTTGACAGGATGGTTCCTGTGCCATTCTGGATGACAAACATGCCATTGTCCTGTTCCACAAACAGCCTGACTTGGGAATTCTCATCCTTATCTGCATCATTGACTGTCACTACACCAACAGGATTGAGTGGAGGCATGTTCTCTATGACAGAGAAGCTATAGCCATTCAGTGTAAACTTTGGGTCATTGTCATTGCAATCTAGAACATTTACCACCACCGTGGCAGTGCCGGTTTTACTAGGCACACCCTTGTCTGCTGCAGTTACACGGAATTCATAACGCTCTTTTTCTTCCCGATCCAATGAGTGATTCACACGAACTTCTCCAGTGCTGGAATTAATTTTAAAGAGCCTTTTGGCTGTTGAATCAGTGATGGTATAGAACAACTCTGCGTTTGTGCCGCTGTCTGCATCTGTCGCCACAATGTCTAGAACTTTGTCTCCTGGCTGGTTGCCTTCTGCAAAGTCTACCTCAACAGTTGAAGGAGAAAAGTTTGGTGCATTATCATTAATATCTGTAACCTGGACTTTGAGAGCGTTAGTGCTGGACAAAGCTGGGTTTCCAGAATCCACAGCGACTATTTCAATCCTGTAATCCTTAATACGCTCATAATCCAGCAGGGTTGTTGTCTGCAGGAAGTATTTTCTCTTCCGATCGTTGGCTGACTCACTTGCAGGACGAAGCTGAAATGGAACATCACCAGCAACAACACATGTCACCACAGCATTTTCCCCCTCATCACGGTCTGACACCTGGACCAGTGCCACTGGTGTACCAATAGGCATGTCCTCAGAAATGTTGGCCACACCATCATGATGTGTTACCAAGCCAATACCACGGATCTCAATGGCTGGTGCATTGTCATTTTGGTCCTTGACGTGTACGGTCACAAGGACCTTGGAACTCTTGGAATTGGGTCCACGATCTCTTGCCACCACAAAGAACTTGAGAAAGTTTTCTTCTTCTCTGTCCACAAGACCTTTGACGTAGACGATGCCTGTTGCGCGGTCAATGCGCAGAAGCCTTTGGACAGATTCTGATGCTTGATGGAGGCTGTAGTCTATCTCTCCATTGAGGCCAGTGTCTGCGTCGTTGGCTTTGACCTACAAGAGTTGGAAAAAAACAAAAGACAGACAGACAGACGGACAGAAAGAAACAAAGAAACAGATTCAATCGTTTAGCCAAACACTGTCCAAAACAACATTAAGAATCAGATCATTTGCCTGTTCAGAATTGCATTTGGTACACTGGAAAATCAAAATATCATCAAAACATTGATCTTTTGGCAGGTTTGCAGTTTTCATGACAAGCAATAAATATTCTATATTTAAGACATTCAACTTTAGACTAAAAGTCTGAAGTAATCTCAGACTAAAAGAATGATTCGCCACGCTCTTTTTCATGTGACGTCAGTGAAATACGCGTCATGATTCCATTACAGTCTCTGTTAAATTTTAATGATTATTTAGCTTCTTTGGCTAATGAAGAGTCATGACCATTACTAATGCAACAGTACAAGGCCCTTTATGTTTTCCTCAGGGGGAGGAGTTTGTATGCTGCGAAAGATAATACCCGATCAAAGCTGATTGCACAACCCTACACAACAACATCTAACGGCCGTGCAGCGGGTCATTGGCATCTAATGGGCAGACGAGTGAATGTTAATGTTCCTCTCATTATCAGAAAAGCCCCAGCTCCTCAGGGCCCATTAGGAGACTGAATAGGACAGAACAGAATGAACCACAAGCTGACTTCATAAGTCCAAACCTAAAGTGAATGGGGGCAGTTAGTCAATTAGGAGATATGAGAAGTCAGCAAAATATCACTTAGGAAATATTCGTTAACACACCTGTCCTATCTACGGATCTAAACCGTTTTAATTGCAGTCATTGAATGCCATGGCTGCCGGTCAGAAATGTAGGTTGTTTCAAATTAAGCAGTTCTTGAACAGCTGATTTAAATGTCCCAGGTGCTGCTGATCCAGTGTTTGTACAGCCTTCACCCAGGAGTAATGTAATTATGTTTGGTTTTTTTTATTCTTCTTTTTTTAAGGCCATTATACCTTTAAAGCTGGGCTGGTTCTTAGCCAAGCTTGCACTCAGTAATATATTTCCCTGAAATTTAAGTCCAAAATATTATGATTTACTAAAATACAAAAAAGGAATCTGCCAATGGGATAAGATTATTAGGGCTACTTTTTAAAGAACCAATCAAACATAAGGGATTGCTTCTGGTCGTAGCTTCGTATTTATCCAAATAAGAAACACCCTTTAAAGCCCCTAAAAACACCAGCTACATTAGTAATCAAAATCTAATATAATGTAAACATGATATAAGTTCAATGAAGATACAGATTATACCATATCCAAAACCATTTTAATCAGTTTTTAGGAGGAAATCAGGGTTTAAAAGGCTACTGCTAGCAGAATCTCTGAAGACTCTTGTTTTTCACACAGACTCCAGTTCATACTGCCACATAATAAATATGTTGTTTATCGTCTGCTCAAGAAACTCACAAACTGTGACGGACCACCACCAGCACCATGATGTGACCATAGAAGCTGCTGATCCAAGTCAGAGAGGTTATGGTTAAAGAAAGCATGAAAGTGAAATTATAATTTCTCCTGCCCATTGATTTCCTTTCCTTTGCTCTGGCCTTAAGCAGCAGACATCACCAAACAGCGGTGAATTATTGACAGCTTCTGAGAATTGTGTATTGAACAGTGTTGCTGCTGGAGCCCGGTGCCACTGTGATGGGGACAGAGCTGCACTGGCTGCGCTCCAAGGCCACTTTGTCCAGGCATACAGAAACTATAAACACTCTTTATCTACCAGTTAACAATTAACCTGCAAGAGCGTCTGGTTTCCTGACCGAGTGAACCAGAGTTTCTGAATGTTTCAGGTGATTTACAACAGTAAACCTTTAATTTATTCCAACATTCTCCAAATCAGCCTGGTTTCTCCCCCTCCACGAAACTATTAGAGAATTTATTCCCGAGGAAATGAGCTTGCAGACACTTAACGCAGAGAAATAATCTATCACAGTTTATATCCTGTCTAGTTTATTGTTGACTAAATTACATTATAATGACGTGGCAGTTCAGTGTGGACTCTTCAAACCATTTGAGGCTGCTTTTTGAACTAATTAATCAGCTCGTCAACATCATATTGTTTTTTAAATCATCTTTAGGATTTTAGTGACTACGCATTAGGGACCCCTGTCAATATTCCTTGGTCTTTAATAAGCGCTAAATTTCAAGGATCTGTCTTCTGCTAATTACTTGATTAAAGGCTCTAAAAACTGTTAATTGTTCTGACTCAGCTTGTTGATATGGTTGATTAGAGCTACATTTAAAAGAAAAGATGCCAAATTTCGAGCTGCTCTGGTTGATGTCCTTCTGGTTAGCTTCCATTTCTGAAGGGTTTCAGGTAGGCGGAGCTAAGTTCAAAAGCTTTAAATGCAGTGGTGCAGAAAGGATCAGTGAATTCAACTTGGCAAGGTGGGGATATCATGTACCTAAGTGCACCTATCAGGCACAAGAGCAACATTTGAATGTAAAGAAAAAAAAATCGGATCAAAAACCACACCCACACAGGCTCTGTAACTGGGCTTTTCCACACATTAAATATATAAGAACAGAAGAATTGTTCAAAGGAATTTACTTTAGGTTACATTACAAGGGAATATCAATCAAATCTTTTTTATGCATTATTTTTATCCAGAATATATTTTTTTTTTCCAAAAATCTAGCGATTTAAACTTAAATTTGCCCATTTTTAGACAACAAAGTTAGACCCACTGATGTTACTTTTTTTGAGATAACAATCTGGCTGCCTGAAGGTCTAAAATAAGGTGACTCGATACTGAAACAGCTTTAGAAGAGGCTAACAATAATCACAAAGCAGCAGTGTGTTCCTTTAAAAAACAAGTCAAAAGAAAGGGATATACATGTCTGTGTTGCCATTGGCTGATTTAAGAAGGTCAGGGTCGTCAGTCGGCGATGTCCTGCTGCCTCTAAAGCATCGCTCCTCAAACGCACGTTAAGTGAAATGAATTCTGTGGCTCTCTGAAATGCAATGAGCCACATCCAGAGCAATAATACCAATAAGCCCCGTGGATAATCTCATGACTGACTCAGATTAAGTCATGCACAGCAAGCTGGAAGGCTGGCTGGCTGGCCGCACTGCAGTCTGGGAGAAGGGGCACGAAAAGTGGAGGATGACATGGTGAAGTGGGTTTGTTGGGATGTTGCGGAGTCACCGAGCCAAACCGGGCCTTCCTGCTCTGCTCGCTGACGGCAACATCACGTACCGCCGCTCCAGCCGAGGGCTCAAAGGTGAAGTTGAATCAGTGGTTAATATGTGACTACACACAGCGATCCCACGCCCCGCTTCACCTCCGCTGCACCATCTGTCTGTACGGATAATTGAGCAGCATATTACGTGCAGTCGCTGCTCCGTGTTGTCCTGCAGTGTTATCGCCAACAAGGCCAAAGGTTCCACTGCAATGTTCGGCGGACAAGAAAAACTCTGGATTGACTCCTGAACAGCAGCAGCAGCAGCGCTCACACGCAGTTTTGCCTGGAGAGAACTAACTTTGCTACTTTTAAAATAACACAATAATAATCATTTACTTGTGATATTTTAGATTAATAGACTGTAAATGAAAAAGCTCCCATAAGGCTGGATCTCATATGGTTGAGACTTGTATCCCTAAATCACACATAGGGGACAATTTTGAGTAAATAAGAACTGTCCTCAACTTCCACTTCATATTGAATTTTTCAAAATGGAAAAGGTTTTAACAGCAAAGCTTTACTGCCAAAACAAACAAGTGACTTCATTAAGGAAGTTCTAGTTTCTGAAAACCTGCCCACGCAACACAACTGAAAGCCGACGATCTGTTGGGTGTGAAGAGGTAAACATGTTGAAACCTTTAAATGCAAAATGTAAGTGTTTAAAGTTACATTTTACACTGAAAAACATTAATCAGAGGATAAATGACTGATTAGCTATCGATAATAAATCAGAGCTAACGGCTCTACAGATTCAGATAAAATGAATTGTACGACACTGATGTGTGTGCTGACCTGCAGTACAGAGTGTCCCGGTGGACTGTTTTCTGGTAGGTCAGCTTCGTAGTGACTTTTCTCAAACTTCGGAGTGCAGTCGTTCTGGTCGGTCACCGTAACTCTCAGCAGAGCGCTGCTGGCCCTCGAAGGCTTCCCGCCATCCTGTACCCTAATGTTCAGGTCATACGAGTCCTTTATCTCACGATCTAAGTTGCCCATCACGACCAGCTGCGGCAGCTTCTCCTCTGCGTCCACGGCGACCTGCAGGCTGAAGAGCTGGTCAGCGCCTAATCCGGTGCTACTGCTCAGAGAGTAATCTGCCACGCCGTTGCTCCCCGAGTCTCTGTCAGTGGCCATGGGGATGGAGAAGAGGGCGCCGATGTGCGTGTTCTCGGGAATGGACAGAGTCAGGATAGGCGAGGAGAACTGTGGAGTGTTGTCATTTATGTCCAGGACCTCGATGCGACCTTCAATGAGCCGCGGCCCATTGCCGATACCCTTCACCATGTCAGTGATCGACACCTCAAACTCCAGGTAGCATTTGTCGCCCTCGAACAGGTTGCGGCAGTCTCTCAGCGTCTCACGATCGATGGGGATCTCGGTGGTGTAGATGTCACCGGTCGAGCCGTCGACCCTCAGGTACGGCGCACCCACCTCCAGCTTATAGAGATGACCGGCATTGGGCAGGCCCTGGTCTGTCGCCAGGCTGCCAATCATCGTGTTGGGCGGTCGTTCCTCAAAAACCTGATAGAGGATGTCACTGGGCGAGGCGCTGCAAGACACCAGCAGGAAGGCAGCTAAAAAGAACAAAGCTTCACACCTCGGCGCTGCCATGTCTCTGCCAGAAAACACCGCTCTGAAACAGACAGAGACAGAAAACACATTAGTAAGACTCATGTTCTGCTTCAGACGGCACCAAACAAGACTGATAACTGAGGATCTGCAGAGCTGCTGCTCAGATTTATTTCAGGGCCACTCAAGAAAAGATGGCTAAATTCATCTCCTTCAGCGTCTAAACATATCCTCAATGGTTACTCGCCAGACCCGAATGCGGAAAGTTTTCGAGTCTGAACTCATCGGCTGAGACGGTGTGGGGAGAGCAGCCGAGCAGGGTAGAGTGATGACTTCCTCCTGCTACCAGTCGACTGCTCTGGCAGGAAGACAAACTGAACGCTGCTGCAGGCGACCAAAAATACTGACAAGAGGCAGCAGGTGGTAATGGGCCACATGATTAGAATAAAAAAGTAAGATAACACGTGGGGAGGACCGCACTCGTAGAAAATCGGATCATTTTCATGTCTTTCGTGCGTCTCAAAACATGTTTAGTTTGCAATCCAACCTAAAGTCCAACATTCTGAGTAGCCTATAGCATTGAAGGCTGTTTGCAGGGATAATAAACTCAAATTTAAGCTTTTTAAATGTCAAACAGAATTTCAAGCAAGAGCAGATCTTGTTCCTGTGCAAGCAATTCAAGACATAAAGAAAAACATTTGCCATTGCCTTCATCACACACTACTTGTTGGGCATAGTACTTGTTTTCCAGCATAATACAAATGTGGTACAACAGGTTCAGCAAGTCATCAATGATTGAATGCTTCAGGTAACCGTTTTATAACTACACAAGACACACAAGCCTCCAACTAAGAGTTTATTAGTTTTAAGTTTAAGTACATTTCAGACTTCACTTGACCTTGCAGACTCTCAGAAGAAATCCTTTTTTCTACAGAACTCATAAGAGTCGACTCTGCCATCAAGTCTGAATGTGTTTACTCAAACCGACTTCATTCCTGATGGCCTGGTGTTCATAACGCTACATCTGAGCCAGACTCTTCTTGATATAAACTCTTCTCTTTTCTTCTCCCCTCATTCACTCCACCTCTCCTCCTCTTTCTTCTGTCTCTACACATTATCTTTTCTTGGCAGTAAATCTCAGACAGACACTCCACTCTGTATTTCCTGCTGTAGGAGTTTCTCAGCTGCGGGTCGCAGAGGTTAATCTGAAAAGTGCTTTTTTTTTTAACTTTTCCTCCTCACGTACTTGATTTGGAGAGACTATCTCCCTCGCGCACACACACACACACACACACACACACACACACACACACACACACACACACACACACACACACACACACACACACACACACAGATCCAACATGGACCAGCATGCTGAATGGGAAGCAGGAACCCCGCAACTCGGATGCACGCAGTTTATTTTGTCCTACAGGATGGAGTCTGCTTGTGTGTCTGAAAGAGAGGGGAGGAGTGAATTTTCTCTGTTCACAAATCCAACATAAAACCAGGACAATATTATTTTAATAGCACGTGCCCCTTCACACATCAGAACGCCTCATCTGTTCACACGAACCCAGAAAGAAAGTGTTACCCTGCAGAGCACTGTGGTGATATCAGGCTACATCCACGCCAGACATCAGCCTGTTAAGTGAGACTGTAGTTATCTGCCTTAAACTTCAAAGCATTTTTTCCCCCATTAAATAAAAGACAAACGATTGTCTAGTAAAACTAAGAGTATTCTCATATGGTTCGACTCAAGCAGCTGAGCAGGATTTTAAGTGAAAATGAGCAGGAATGTAATCACGGATGACTTTATGGACCGATGATTTCTGTTGTCGGTTTGTTTAATGGCCTTGTGGTGTGGACTGAGTCTCCTGCACAAATTTTTTTTTTAAAATTTAAAATCAAAAATAAATTTCAAAGTGGCAGCAGACCCAGAAGGCTGCAAATTAGCCTTTTATATTAGCTTCTGTTATTCTGTAACAACGTTACGTAAAGGTCAACCTGGGATTTGGGACGTCTCACACTTGCACGATGGGCCCTAATTATCCATCTCCCACTCGTTTCAAACAAAACAGAGAACGGCAACAAAAACCGGACACTGATCTGAGCGTTCGCCCTCGCCCTCCCCACTGTGACACGCTGGCACCGAATTACCCCTGCACCACTGCGAACGTGTGCGTGCATGTCGGGCTGTGAGTGTTAGTGTGTCTGTTACAGTGTAAATGATGCCCGTGTGTTTCTTTTCTCACATATTTTCTTCAGAGCTGCCAAATACCCCAAACTATTGACCCCTGACCTTTGACCCTGTGATATTTCACACGTCACTGTGGAAACGGAGCAAAAACGACTCGGGTGGCTGGCTGGTGTCCAGTCTGCTAATGCAGCTCTGAACACATGAGAGTGGCTCCACAAAACCAAAGGCTGGCTCTAATCAGTGTGATACATACGCACACAGATGTGACGGCAGCGATCGCTGATAAGTGAGCTTCCTTTACTGTCAATGCAATGAAGTATTTTCATTTCCTTGTGTATTTACATGAAACCTCATGTAAATACACAAGGTGCTGTTCCTGAAAACAGTTTGTTTAAGGGTGAGCTCATGCTTTGCCAACATATGAATATAAAGCAGATGAATGGGATGACAGGCAGTTACTGGGTCCAACATATCTTTCCTTCTAAACGCCTTTAATGAGTCTATGGAAACATGAACCCCTGCCCTGTGGATTATGAGACATTACCCGAGAACACAGAAAGCAGTTTTATTGAAAACATCTTTGTTTCTATAGATTCAATTTGGATTTTCAATTCATGAAAAATTGCAGATAAAAGTTTGCACATGTGCAAAGTTCACGCAACACTTGTAATGTAAACTGCAACACGCTGAATCACAGTGCCAATATCCCCTCTGGGGCCAACATTTTCATTTAGAAAGTAGCAGCTGAAAACATATTTCAGCACAGCTCGTGGTACCTGAACGTGAGCGCTGCTTTAACGCCTCGTGATAAAAATAGAAATGGAATCAGAACATTTGCTTTATTCGCCTTTTCAGCACAAACAAATCACGTAGGTGCGTTGGGTTTCTGCATGCTTGCCACTCAAGGCCTCAGGTGAGATCAGGGGATTCTGTTGTTGCAGTTGTTTCCACAGATCGTGGGGTGTTAAAAAAAAAGAAAGAATTCAAGTCATGAGAAAAATTTGATGCTAAAAAAATCTTCAGGGTCAAAATGTGAAAAGTTCAAAGTGCATGGATTCCATGTTCGCATGGTTGTTCACATGTAGTGCGCATTTTTGTGAGTTTGTGTGCGCCTTCCTCGGGGGACGAGTGAGCCAGAGATCGCCCCGCTCGTCCTCTTTCCCACAGTCTCAAGCTTTCTCACTAAGCAGTGTGTGTGCGTGCGTGTGTTTGCATGTTTGTGTAGAAAGCGGGACAGCCAGTTCAGCTGCTGGAGCCACTTGTGTGTGTGTTACATTACAAAGACATTAGACAAAGACTAAGGACAGTAACATTTCCATGTGTAAGGCTCGCTGCCACCCGTGTTTGCCGCTGGAAGAGGCGAGAGACAAAGACTCACAATAAAGTACTCAGAGGGATTGAGGGGGGGGCGTGTCCAGACAACAGCACTCATCTATACATTACAAAGCAGCTTAAAGGCCCTCGGACCACCTCCTGTGAGTGTGTGTGTGTGTTTAGTGTTAATATTCAGAGTGTGTCTCCATGTTAATGTCCCACCTGCATACCCGTGGAGTCACAGCTGCATTAAATTACCACCACTGTAAATGCCACATTATGGTTTTTGCCCCCTCTCTACGCCTTGCCCCCGGGTGCTCTCATGCCAAACTTGGTACGAATATCTCCAATATGCACGTAAAACAATTACAAGTGTGTCGTAAAATTGTAAGTTCAAACACAGCTGCAGCTGAGCCATAAACTCAGTCTAAACATAGTATTTTCACCGCAGTTTATTAAGTCGATAAAATGCAGTAACGTCTTCGATGAAAAATCGTGTTTTATTTAAGTAGCAGTTTGAAAGCAAAAAAGTAAAACGTATTTCCTCCTGAAAGATGACAGAACAGATGAGCTAACTGACTCTAGTCGGAGCGAAATGCTTCAAGACAAACACGCTTCTTACTCTTTGAAAGCTTTAGTGAATGTGCAGACTATTAAGTAATATCACTTATTATATGATTCATTTGATTTAGAGTTATAAGAATACCTTTAAATTATGACTTGACTTTCTTTTTTGAGTACTTACTTAAATATCTGAGTACTTCTCAAACTTTTAAAACCTTTAAAAACTGATGTAACACTTTCAAAATTCTGCGTACAGTAACGGGTCGCTGGATAAAATCAGGACAGATAATTAGAATCATAAATCAGTGACAAAATAAAATCCATTGTGATGAAAATCAAACTAGAATAAAACGCTACTTCAGTGTTTGCCAAGGGAAATTCTTGACTGGTCTCTGTGGTTAAATGAATTTATATCAATGACAGTCACAGTTCCAAACACAAAACTGCAACATATTTTATGTAATTTCAGAAAATGTAACAAAAAATGATCACAGAATTTTAAAAAATGCTTTTTGTCATTTGCTTTAAAAGAAATCTATTTTGAAAACCATCCACGGACGGGTTAAGAGATGGAAAAACCAGCTGAAATTTCCAGTTTTTGCTAATCCTGTTAATTAAATATCAGACAAATCCAGACAGCATGCAGATCACTGATGCAGAAATCCCATAAATCCAACAAACCCATAAAACAAATCTGTTCATTAGTTTTCATGTATGAAAAATAAAAGAAATAAAATAGAACAGAGTAAAAAGGTGGCTAGCAATATATATATAAAAAAACACGACTGCACAAGAACACACTGAACTGCAGACACAACTTCTAGCACATAAATTGGACTACTGACCTTAGCGCTGTTCTGCAGAGCCGGTTAAACTTTAAAGATCCTGTGACTTGAGCTGTTCAGCTTGTCTGTGCTCCCTGGTGCATCTGCAGGGATGAGCTCCCGCTGCACGAGTGGGCGTATCTAAAGAATGGCATTTTCCAACCATCCTGCCTCTCTGCCTGTCCTTCCACATCATACTGCATGTATCTCCATAACAAACAGCCCTGGTACCTCTACACATGTCCCACTGACTGCAGACGCATCAAGGAATGAATGACGAAATGTCACGAAAACCTTAAAGAACACAACATTCTTGCATCTCTGTTGTCATTGTTCCACGATTATTCCTTAACACGCCACTTTTCACACACGGATTCAAAATCCACCCTTTTCAGCTGCGATTGAAATGTAGCATCTAGGAAAAAAGGGCATGAGGAGTCTGATCATGACTCCTCATCCCTGCTTCTTTGATTCCACTTTTCTGCAGGTCACACAAAGAATTAAGACTGACTTTTTTACACCACAGTATTTGGACTTGTGTTGCACTGCTAATATGTCCAACACTTGACTGTCGATCAACACAACAATCATAATCCTGAACATTTTAATCTTGATAATTTAACACAAATTATTTGTAAACTACTGGCAGACGCAGCCGAGCGTGAAGATAGCCCCAGGTGACAGCAGACTTGAATACCTTTGTTCAGTCAAATTTTTGAAACGTCATCACAGTAGCCTGAAGTTAAACGATTACAAAAAACAAACGGGATACTGCCTAACTGATTGAGCCACTTATCAATGAACTGCGGCACCTCTAACACTGTATATGCAAAACTATAAGTGTGTATAAACTTAAATGATTTCTAGCCCTGTGCGATACGCTGGTGTCCCTCTGCTGCTGCACAGTATTTCAGTGAAGTCATTACTGAACTGGTTTTCTTAAAGAGATCCATCTAAAGAGAAGCTGTGTGACTGTGACAGAAACATAAAGTCCTTTGTGTTACATAAAAGGCACAATTATCCCTGGTATCATTTTTAATTGCGGTAATGTGTTGTGTAATTACACACGAAGTCCATCAGACCAATTACAAACCACAAAAATGGCAGCATGGAGCTGATGGCCAGCGGCCAAACTGGAAACCAGTTCGCAAAAGTTTCCGTGCAGGTGCGCACCGCTGTACCTGGGCGTATTTCCTACACAAAATGCAGTAACCTGAATGTCCAGCTCTTCAGGTTCACGCATACCAGAGCAGGCCTGAATTAAACATCACACACAAACACAGAAAATCAAAAGCTCCTTTGATGTTTTCAGATCTCAGATGGGTAGGATGTGCATGGTTGACGTGAGCTTTCTGGACAGTCCAGTGTGTGTGTGTGTGTGTGTGTGTGTGTGTGTGTGTGTGTGTGTGTGTGTGTGTGTGTGTGTGTGTGTGTGTGGTCCCCCTGCCTTCCAACACAATGGGGATTACTCTAATGACTCCATTCACTACCATTGTTTGATCCAGATTACTGCGCACGCAGACACACATCCTCCCTTTTGAAATGCAACAATCAGAGGTTGCCAGGTTCTTTCTGCCTCCCGACACCACCTGGATATGTTCAGCGTGAATTTGCTGGGTGCTGTAAATCTTTGGAAGTCCTGCAGTTTGACTCAGAAGTGCTTCTTGATTCAATAAAAAGAATCTGGGTACAATATTTACATTTAATTTAGTGCCAAACAAGGCTCCAGTCATTTGCCCTCAGAGCTGCGAATGAAAGCCGGAGAAGACGGGAGCTTAAACTTATTTATGCAAGTTAAGTAACTGCATTGATTTGGAGGCATCCCCCGCTTGTTGCCTTGCGTGATTCCTTTCTTTCTTTCTTTCTTCCTTCCTTTTTTTTTTTTTTTAAAGAAAGTCATTTCCTGACCAAAAGCACACGTTCGTCAAAATGCAGTACGGGGGCAGGACTTTTATAACAAAAGCAGTTAAAGCTCGAAAGCCTTTTGTTCACGGAACTGTGTGAACAGTAAACAACAATTTAACAAATATGAGAAGAAGCTCTTTAAATAATCCAGTTATGATCAATGGTTTTCGGGTCTATGATGCCTCTACACCTCTCCTCACAGGCAGCAGGAGCTGTGCAATGTGGTTTATCATCGGTGTGTCCACACCTTGTGTACACAGCCTTGTAACTTATCAGGTGTTCGGGGTTAAAAATGAAAACAACGTGACTACACTATGAGTCATAAATGCCGTGTAACTCGAGCTATGTCACATGATCATCATGTTGCTGTCAGACGGGAAAATTTGGATTTATGTGCATTTAGTCACCGATTTCATCACGCTCACAGCTGGTTTCTGTATGCTTGCTTCTTCTTTCTGTTGCGCAATTTTCATCCCGAAACTCCTGGTCTGAGGCACTGTGGCACGACTGGCTGGTTCAGGGATCAAACGTTTGACCTTCTACTGACAGGATGTGCCAACCTCTGATCCACACACACACACACAGTGATCCTCTGGGAGCAGCAGCAGAAGGGGATTATGGGAGCGGATGGTGGATGAACAGCAGGCTGGTATGAAGTAAAGATCGGGCATCATCTGAATGCGGTTTTAAATCCACGGCAACATATTTATTCCACATGAATGTCAGACTGCGGCAGGAGGAGATAATAACAATAAACTACCACTGCTTTATAAGCACCAGATAACACGGACTGACATGCTTATATAACATCAGTGAGCTGCTTTCACTTCTTTCCAGTCCACCCTGCTGGATTCTTGAGGGGTTTTTTTCTAATCTAAACTCAGATTATTTTTTAAAGGCTCCAATGACTCTTGGTATAAAAAAGGGTGTGGCCAAAGGTGTGAGGGGAAGCTTTTACAGTTACTACTGTAAAAAAAAAAAAAAAAAGCTGGTTAAAGCCTCTACAATTACGCATTTAGTTCTTGAATGACTAAATACAACATTCTGAGTTTGTGCTGGGGACCTTGCCTTGGATTGGATCTGATGCTTGTTTTCCATCGGGTGTTTCTGATTTATTGAACAAATGTTATGTTGGCATTCAAAGAACACCTTTTCAGCACACATCATGTGTGCTTTATGCACGCCGCCTCCTCACTTTTGCACTTTTAATTCAGCGGTCCATGCATCTCTATGTTTCGTTACATATTCCAAGTCTCTGACTCACCGCTGCAATCTTTATGATTTGGTCATTGCTGACCACTCGTGGTAAACGGCTCTGGCGGATTATCTACGAGGTGCCCCGGGTTTTTAGAGCTCTGGGATAACGATGCTTTCTTACTCTTGGATGCCGAATGTGTTGCAGAATGTTAAACGTGCTTTAATCTGGTATCATCGAGAATGTGGTGACACTGAAGTTCCTGTTTCACTATATACTGCGTTTTACAGTGTATATGTCTCTCCTGAAAAGACTTGATTTGAACCGTTCTTTAAAACTGCAGAGACAGATCATATATCACCTGAGCGCTCTGGATACAGGTATACCTGTTCTACACTGTTCAGTCATTATCAGTGCCACTCAGCACTCTGCACATGCTCAGTGCTGTTCTCTTGGTTTGTTGATCATCCAGACCCATATGGAAAAGAAATAGTAAAAACTTATATGATTTACTCATGAAAGTGGCCACTTCCTCATTACTTTCATATATTGTTTTAGTAAGTATCCAAAACATACAAGTTTCATTATATAATTTTTCAAGGGATCTTATATCTGTTTTCACTCTTGTATGCTTTTCATACAAGTTTCACACAAGACAGATACAAACTTTATAAGATTTATATATATCTTTTCCATATGGGGAGGCACACATTGCGTTGGAGGAAAATAAAGACAAACAAACCTAGTTATGTCTAAATATGGAGGAAATCAGTGTTGCTTTTGTGTTTAACAAAGCCGAAAGACGAGTGTCTTTGCTGGTGCCGATCAGCGCACCCAGTTCGCCCCAGTCCTCCAACCAAGGGTTTGAATAGTTGCCGTCAATTACCCCTGAACCTCCTGAGCCCAGTAAATGGTAATCGGGCCAGCCCCATTGATACATACATTTAATTCTTCTCTGCACTCGATGGCTGGCGAAGCTTAAAGAGGCTCTGTGCAAGTTTAACAGATTAGTGTTAATCAACCACGAACTGATTAAATCACTTTAGTCATTTATCAAGAAAATGTGACAAGTGTCTTCTGCTTCCAGCTTCTAAAAGCAGCATTCAATACTTCTCTCTCTGCTTAGCATCGCTGTAAAATGCTCGAACAAAAGAAATCTGAAGACGACGCCTCGAGCACCTGTGACAGTTTATCGACCATCACCGCACGGCTGCATTATGTGAACACGCAGAGACGCAGCCTGAAATGACGCCTGCTGCTCAGAGTGAGAACACGCAGCGAGTTTTTTAACATTTAACTCACTTTAATGATTGCCTCTATTAACCAACAGAGAGAGAGAGAGAGAGAAATCAATACGGCTATATCATTCCATATCGGTGCTTCTAGTCTCATTTATGACAGGAAACGATGACAACCTTCCATCTGCCAGGCTGTAAAGCATCTCCATGTCAGCCGGACTGATTTACATGAAATTAACAGTGGGTGTGTTTATGATTCCCTCAGGAGGAGTTCTACCATTGCTCCTTTTTAATAAAATATAAAAATGATGATGACATTGCAGTTCACGGCAAAATTCAAGCCAAGCCTTCAACCACCTTTAGTTGATTTATGACATATTTGCCACTAGAAAGAGGGGGGAAAAAACCCAACCTCGCATAGGAGAATGTGGGTGAAAGTTTTTTTCATCAGGTCACAGTGTCCACAATATCACCGACGTGCTGCAACAGCACCGTGCCCTGAGTTCCCCCGTGACTCCTCGCCTTATTACAGAAGAGCAAGAGTGTAGCTACCAAGCAGATATAAACCTCTGCGACGTGTTCAGTGTGCTCCGCGAGCTGTAAGGGTTTCAGTGGGAAGAGGGGACACATCTGATCTCAGAAAAACAAAACGACAAACCACAAAAGCCAACCGGAGCCCGTCATCCTAACAGACTCAAAATGAAGCATGAATGTGCATTTATAACTAGGTTTGTGTTTTATTTCAAATGATTCATGTTTTCTTCTCGGATAGAAATCTATAGAAAAATATGTGATGGCTGTTGTACAACCACATCTCTGAGCGACCTGTTCAGGGTTTTCTTCCTCCCAAACTAACCGAAGGATCATCTAACTGGAAAATGTTACTGCCAGTCAAACTTTTCTAGCTTGTTTGTGAATTTCACTGAGATGCCAAAGATTTTATTGCTATTTCCAAGTTGTGACTAAGAGCTCAGGAGCCATACCCAAACACCATAAAAGAAGAAACAATGGATTAGTCAAGTAACCAGCCGTGTCACAGGAAAGACGTGACAAAGCATCCATTTCTCCTTTTTTCTTCTGCGTGTTAATGCGAGTTTTTGGTTTCCTCTCCCATTTGCGCGCTCGTTGTCACACCTAAACTTAAATTAGAAAGGAAACTGTCTGTGAAAACTCTGAAATCAGAAGGGTGGATGTCTCTTTTCCTGCAGTGCAGTGATGTGAATGCATGTGTGTGTGTCCATTTCACACACCAAACCCATTTCCACTCTACCTCCTCCTATTTTAATGACGGGCATTAACAATGCGACTCGCTCAGATCTCCAATTTTTACGCAGAAATGTGCAGAACGGACTCGGTGCGACCTCCCTCCTCCCACTCCATCCCCTTTCTCCCCCCAATGACTAATCCCCCACGCCGCAGAGCCACGGAGGACTGTGACGTTTGTCACCGTTTTATCTGATCACCCTGAATTAGAGGAGGCAAGAGAAGAATCCTAAAGATGGGAATCAAACCTCAGACCTCACCCTCAAAGTGGCGGATGGCATAAGCTCAAGTGACAGCAGGCTTGCCATCGAAGCCGGCCGCAAACCTCAGGGAGAATATCTCCAATTCAGTCGCTCCTGCTGCACAATAAACCTGGATCTACGCTTAACAGTGGCAGAATGCACAGGGGGGAACCTTCCAGCTCGACCATAAAACCACAATCTCACCCTCAGAGGCTTTTTATGTTTGTCCAACAGCAGAACGCAGCAACGCGGCTACATTAATTCATTAATATTCTTTTATTAAATAACACCACTGTTCAAGTGGATTCTCCAGTTGTTCCAGGAAGTACGCTGGACCTGCTCTACTGTGCAAAATCTACCTTAAGGCCAAATGTGATTACAACGGTCTCGCCTTACTGGCTGAGACACATGAAGCTTCTAATGCAGCTGGATGATTTCACATCACGAGTTTCACAGGAAATTATGGGAGCGAGATGACAGTGGGGTAGTGGGGAATAGGGTCAAAGGTCAAGCGTGTAGGAAGAGAAAACATGGCAGATTCCCACGGAAGCGTCTCCGGAAACATGTGTTTGAAAACCACCAGTACTTAGCTCAGTATCAGAGAGGCAGATGCAGTTTGCATGTAAATACACTCCCCCCTTTCTCTTTCTCTCTCGCTCCCTCCCTCCCTCCTTCATGTGGAGCAGGTCTCTCTCTCTCCCCCTTTCTAGTACACACGCGCGCGCACGCGCACATACACGTACGCACACATGGAACAGAAGGAAGGAGGAGAACCGGAAAGCCGGAGACTGGTGGGACCGGACTGACTAGATTCCCATGCGGTGACGCGGTGGATATTCATCATCAGCTGCCCTCCTGTCCACCTTTGATAGTTTACACTGATACTCTTGTGCCTTTATTTGCCTTCACACCATGTTAACGGCACGTAGGCTCCAGAAAACAAGCTCATTAAAGGGGGGTGTTAAGGACGGAGGAAAAGGGAGTTTAATTTGATGCTACAGGTGCTCAAAGCGGCCTCAGGTGCCGCAGAGGATCAGATATGGAGAATGATGTATGCCCCCACGTCTGCGCGTCTGGTTTATTAGCAGCCGTGGATGAATAGACTGTTTTGTTGCCAAGAGTCCCCAAAGGCAGATTAGCTCTTATATTCCAAGACAAACCTCAGATGATAAAGACACTGCCTTTTCACATTCTCTGAACACCGAGCGTCCCGTACAACTCCTACAGATCGAGCTTAAATGAAGCCCCACTGAGTTTATGATGATGCTCCTATATGCACTACAGGGACCCGCGCGCACACTCTGCCCTACTGTACTGTCCTCCCGGAATGCATTAGCCAGGATTACCGTGGGGTTAGTTCCAGGTTCCGAAAGGTTTATCAACCCAAAGTGACCCACAGGAACGCATTTTATTACTAACAGTCACGGGGGTAATGCTGAGCGGGGAGGGGATCGATACGGATCAATAGCACTGTAGTGTAACACTGGTAAAAAAAAAAAAAAAAAAGCCATCTGAGGAGATTAGGCAGAGAATATGAAGGTCCAGTCGCGCTAAATGGATTTATTTTATTTATTTATTTATTTATTTTTACCAACAAGTGTTTTAAAAAGAGCTCCTGCTCGACACAAACGCCCGTGTGCCTTCGGAGATTCAACCTCCATCGAATATGTGTTTTTTAATTAAGGCATAAGTGCTCATCCAAGCGAAACTGAATACAAAGTGAATGTGTTTCGGGCTATTCTCGTGCGTAAAACGTCTCCTGCAGTCCGACAGAAGGAGCTCGAGTCAAAATATTTGAAATATTTAGCATGAACGTAGTTATGTGCAGATAGAAGAAAAAGATTTTGTGTATGGATCGCGTATTTATGTGCAGAGAAGTTCCTACCTGGACCGGGTAAGAGCTGCGCGGTTCCCCGGCTCTGAGCGCTCCAGCCTGGCTACAGGCTCCGCTCCTCCTCGGCACCAAGACGGAGCCGCTCCAGACCTCCCGGGAAAAAAAAAAGAAAAATAAGAATCCCGAAAATCAAATCTCTAAATAAACCAAACAATCCAGTCAGACAGCCAGGGGTGGTGATTACTCCAATTTCTCTCAAATCTCTGTCCACTCTGAGTGTCGTGATCAGCGCTGCGCGTCAGCCCGACAGTCCTTCCTCTCACCGGAGGAGCGGCTGGAGCTGGAGTCCAGCCGGGGAGGAGGAGGAGGAGGGGGCAGACCCGTCCGGGCGAGGAGGGGTGGGGAGGAGTTGGGTCACTCAGTTACTCCGCAGAAACGTTACCGCCGCCCGGGCTCTACGGACAGCGGCAGCAGCAGCAGCATCCTCCGCTGGTGGCACGCGTGGGGAGATGTTGGGGTGGAGGTGGACGGAGCAATGGGACAGGGCAGCAGTGTTTTTTTTGTTTTGTTATTTTTTGTTTTTTTTTTTAGAAAAAACGACCTGAGCAACAAACACAAGGTCCGGGAGCTGTCAGCAGCGGGTCTCCAGGTAGTTCCCACTCAGAAGCGCGGTCACCGCTCAGCCGCCTCAAACTCTGTCCGCCTTCCCGGTCCAGCACGGAGCAGGTCGCGCGACTGCACCGTGAGTGCTGAGAAAGTGGAGTGAATCCAAACGAGTGCGCTCGCGCTTCTCTCTCTCTCTCTCTCTCTCTCCCTCCCGGTCTCTATCTCGCTCTCTTCCCCATCCTCCCCCTCCCTCACCCAT